TGGCTGAGGAATTCTGGGAGTTGAAGTCCACAAGTCTTAAGGCGGCCCAGGTTGGATACCCCTGTCATATTAATAGTGATATTGGAGGTGGATCCTGATTGTCTTCCTTTCTTGGCATTTTTAACAAGGCCAAAGCTCACCCCAAATCAACAGGAAGGAATGACTGCAAGTGATTCAGACCATTTTCTCATTCAGGAAAACAAAATTGCAATTTGTGAAACTAGCTTACTTAAGTCGTAAAGTTCCCAGGTTTGGACATCTTCACCCTGTACTTTTCCAGACAAATGGTTGTCCTGCCTCTTCTTGAAAGCCTCCGGTGTTGGAACACCCACAACTTCTGGTGGCGGGATGTTCCACTGGTTCATTGTTCTTGCTGTCTGAATGAATGCAGCCGCTGTGTTGTATTTTATGTATTCTCTCTCGTTCCCTTTCTCTCCTTCCCTCGCTCCTCCCCTTGCTTCTTCCCTCCCTCTCTCCCTCCCTCCCTCTCTCCTTCCCTCCCTCCCTCCCTCTCTTCTTCCCTCTCTCCCTCCCACTCTCCCTCCCTCTCTTTCTCTCCCTCCCTCCCCCTCCCTCTCTACCTCTCCCTCCCTCTCCCTCTTTCTCAGTCTCCCTTTCTCTCCCTCCCCCTCCCTCCCTCTCTCCTTCCCTCTCTCCTTCCCTCTATTTCTCCCTCCCTCCCCTCTCCCTCCCACTCTCTCCCCCTCCCTCCCTCTCTCCTTCCCTCTCTCCTTCCCTCTCTCTCTCCCTCCCTCTCTCCTTCCCTCTCACCTTCCCCCTCTCTCCCTCCCTCCCTCCTTCCCTCTATCTCCCCCTCCCCTCTTCCTCCCACTCTCTCCCTCTCCTTCCCTCTCTCTCTCCCTCTCTTTCCCTATCTCTCCCTCCCTCTCTCCTTCCCTCTCACCTTCTCCCTCCCTCTCTCCTTCCCACTCTCTCCCTCTCTCTCCCTCCCTCTCTCTGCCTCCTTCCCTTTCTCTCCCTCCCTCTCTCCCTCCTTCCCTCTCTCCCTCTCTCCTTCCTCTCTCTCCTTCCCCCGCTCCCTCCCTCTCCTTCCCTCCCTCCCTCCCTCTCTCCTTCTCACTCTCTCCCTCTCGTTCCCTCTCTCTTTCCCTCCCTCTCTCCCTCCTTCCCTCTTTCTCTCCCTCTCTCCTTTCCTCTCTCTCTCCTTCCCCCTCTCCCTCCCTCCCTCTCTCTTAGCTTAGCATTCAAACTTGAAATGTAGAATTGTGCTCTGAACATGTGTACCTACTTTTAACCTAATCCTTTTACATTCTCCAGAACAATCATACATCCGGACAAACAGACAAACATTCCTAAATGTGGAATGGCAAATGGGTGGGCCAACCCCTCCTTTTACATCCCTAAGTTAATTCTGGTTTATTTTAAGGTTGATCCTTGGCTGCCCTGTGAGCAAAGCCCCATTTCTGCATTCTGGAACAAGCCCTGGAAAAACTGGTTTCGGGGAACCCTTCAGCCTCCAACAGAGGCCAGTCTGATGTAGGCGTGAAATAATGGGTCACCTCACCTGTGGGATTACCTGAAAAGGTATCCGGCCCAGCCCAGTGTTCGGAATTGTAATTAGGGAACAATTAATTCTAGAGTAGAGGAAACGAGATTGTTCTTGGCATCACCAAGGCTAAAGCCTTCCAAGTTCAAAGAATAAAAGCCAGCTAAAAATAGCCACCCCTTCTGTTTTTTAGAAGGTTGGCATCCTAAAACCGCCATCAAGACTTTTGTCTTCTGTTGAAGATGAGAATGTTTTTAACTGCTTTCTATTCTTTCTTTCTATTTTCTTCTCTTTCTTTTTTTTTCTTTTCTTTCATTTGTGTATGTGTTGTTGGTCTGTTTTAATTGTAAAATTAATAAAATTTATTTATATTAAAAAAAAGACCTTTGTCAAGCAATGATGGGGTGTTGTTGTTCCAAGTTGTTGCTTAGGATCTATATACATCATTAATTTTTCCAACCTTGC